AAATAAATAAATAAATAAATAAAACCCAAACTGCCACCAACAAAAAACCAAGCCACTTTTCACTTTTTCTTTACTAAATGTCTATTCTCAAAAACTGAGAGTTAGCTCAAAAGGCAATATATTCAATATGCCTATCAAAATATTTAATATGGCAATATTCAGTACATTGTTAGTCTTCTTCACAATTGTACACAAATTCAGCATTCTCTCTCTAGATATGCTTTCCACGATCAACAAACTCCTTGAAGTCTTTCAGAGCAGAGGCTGTTCATTTTTTTTTTTTTTTTTTTTTTGAGACAGGGTCTCACTCTGCAGTTCAGGCTGGCCTGGAACTTCCTATCTACCCCAGGCTGGCCTTCAAATTGTAATCCTCCTGCCTCTGTCTCCCAAGTACTGGAATTACAGATGTGAGTCACCATACCTGGCCAAGGCTGTTAATTATTCCACAACCTATATAAATAACAGAGATCTGTGCTATGGTGAAGGTTTTGGAAAAACAGATAATGATCCCCATTTCATTTGTAGGCTAGTGTGTCTCTACTGTTCCTCTCTTTGAGACTTGTGCCATCCTCATAGTTACCATTAATTCATTCAAGAAATAGTTAATAAATATCTACCATGTGCAATGCAAAGTGCCTGTGAGGTCCTGGTGCTACAAAACATAGAACCTCCTCTCTAGCAGTCTATAATCTAATAGGGGAGACCTTGTGGGCAAAGAACCCTGAGAGAGTTCTACAGAAACATAAAGATAGTGCCTGACACAGAAAAAACTGAAGAAATGTTTGATGAAATTACTGTCCATTAACACATGAGAATAAAAGTTTGTTGTTGTCAATGACAAGCAAAGAATTAAGACAATTTAATCTTGGCAAGAAAAAAGCCTATACACATGCAACAAAAGATAACAGCATACTAGTATATAGTTAGACAAAGATTATTCAAGAGGAACTCAAATGCATTACAAAGAAAAGAAACTCCTCATAGTCTTACCTGACTGTGTCATAGATAATGATTCATCTGACCAACTAGAACAGTGTTGATGAGACTTGCCAGGTAGACGATATTGTCCGCCAGTCCTATGATTTCCTTTGCTGGAGTCCTGCTTTGACACAGGTGTGCAGCTTCTGAGAGGTGACTGCTCAAACAAAAAAAAACAAATGGGAATTGTTTTGTGATATAGTTGTGAAATTCTATTTAAAAACTGAGATACTAGCCAATTAAAGATATTTACAAAGAGTTTTAAATAATTCTTGACACAAAAAAGTAAAAAGTTTACAATTCTACAGAGGATACAGACTCAATTTTTTCTTAAAGATGGAAAAAGGTATAAAAGAACATGCTTTAAGAAATTTACAAGAGGGTTGGAGGCATGGCTCAAGTGCAGGACTCCCTGAGTTTATCCCTAGTACCACCCCCCCCCCGCCAAAATTTACACAAACTATAAGTAGTTACCATATCAGAGGTATTTATTCTCCTATTCTTTTAGTCTAAAATACTAAATATGGACTACTTTTAAGGAGGGAAGAAGGGAAAAAAACGAGCATAAGAAAACTGCCTACAAAAGACTGTAACAAAACAGAAAATTTCTACCCTGACATCAAGTGGAAGTACCTAATTTAATCCCTTGCTATCATCACTTTTTATTCCTGTGACTTTGGGCAAGTATCTTAGCCTGCTAATCTCCAGGGTGGGGTTAAAACAGTATATACTTTTTAGGGCTGTTGTGAGGATTAAATGAGATAATCCATGTAAGGCATTTAGCACACTATCTGTCACACACACTACCTGTCACATAGTAAGCAAGCACTCAATAAATAATTATTTTTACTATAAAAAATCACTTTAAGACATCACTAATTTTAATTTCTTTGATATATTTTCTTTTGAGAAAAACATCTAGTGCAATCAGTTTGTGGCTATCATGAACCTCAGTAATGATTCTAGGAAGAAAGACTGTGTCAAAACTCTTTCCTAGAAGGTAGCAAATACACTATAAGTAAATTATCCATACTGCAAGCCTATCATTATCAAATTTAAAAATCACCAATATGATAATTTTTATTTTATTTTTTCATTTTATTGTTTTTTAAAAAAAATTTTTGATGGCACGGAGGTTTGAACTCATGGCCTTGGCACTTGGTAGGCAGGTGTTCTTACCGCTTGAGCCATTATCAGCCCCCAATATGATAATTTAGCTAGAAGCCTTTCATAATCTAAAAACACTGTTTAAGTATGTGCACAAGAACACTTAAAAAACATGGAATCAGCTCTTCATTTCTCCTTTAAATCTTCCTGACTAATATTTCAGTAGGGAATATGTGGTTAAGTCTTCACAGTCACATTAAAAACGAAGACTCTAGATAGTTCATTTTTTTAAACATAAAAAAGATTTAACAATGTGTATGTTCACTAAATATTTATTATTATAATGCTAATTTCTTAATATACTTCATAAAATCAAGGTTAAAAAAAAAGGTAAATTTCTAACTTGAGTTTTTACCAGCAGGTTTTTTTTCTATGAAGTACAGTATTTGGACAATGTAAAAAACCTTATTCTAATAATGGCCAATATTTTAATTTAAAACCAACTATTTAAACCAGATCTGCTTTAACGAGATGAAATCACCACTTTTATTCTGATTATGAATTAGCAGTATTACTGCTAAATTATAGTCAAGGCACTTTGGTGTCATTTATGATCTTAAGAGAGCACAGATTTCAGGAAAAACTTGTGTTCTTTCCACAAGCTATTTTTTTGAAGACTTTAGAAGTTCCTATCCCCTCAATATTAACAGACTTGGTGGTATATAATTTTCTGTCACTAAAGCTGTAATTCATATATTTATAAATCTATAGGAGTTAATTAGAAGTTTTATTTCAATTCAAATGTTATTTGTTATCATGTCACAAGTATGGGTGACAGTCAATACTGTTATTAATAGAAAAAATGTAACTATTAATAATATATCTTTTTTTATTGCATGTATTGTTATTTATATTTTCTTTTTTTAAAAATTTTTATTTTATTCATATGTGCATACAATGTTTGGGTCATTTTTCCCCCCCTCCCCCCACCCCCTCCTTTACCCCCCCCAACCCCTCGCTACCCGGCAGAAACTATTTTGCCCTTATCTCTAATTTTGTTGAAGAAATAATATATCTTTTAGACAAGTTTTTTCTAAAGAAGCTTTAAGATATAAATACACATGAACTTACATGTTTACTAGGGGAGGTAGAAGATTCTAATTCCTGTGAAAAAACCATTTCTTCAGTAAGTATACTGTGACTTGGAGTCCCTGGCTGCCCCTGCACTACAGACTCAGATGGCATATAGAGAACAGCAGGGCTGCCTAAGTCTTCTGGAATGGAGCTTTCACTGTTCAGATGAGAGTAGGAAGGTACTGGAGATTCCTCTTCACTCACTGTTTCTAGAAAGAAGGTGAAAACAAGAAAAAATAATACAATCTTAGTCAATGGGACGATTAAACTCTTACATTTTACGTTTGTTTTTAGCATATAATCATTAGTTCTACTTAGATATAATTTCTTTATCATGCCATGTAACATTTACAACAAAGTCTGTAAAGTTTAATCAAAAATTTTGTTTGACACCAACTAAGAAGATATCTGCCACATATAATTAGCAATGATAATTAATGACTGGCAGTCTGTGTGAGGATGCAGAGCAATTACCATCTCATATACTCCTTTAGCAGTAGAAATTGGTCTGACCAACTTAGGAAATAATTTCTATTACTTGAAAAAGATGAAAACACACTCTCTGACCTAGAAATTCTATTCCTAGTTATATATCCCAGAGAAATATTGCCTATGCAGTGAGTTCACTGACAGGATTGGTATAATAGTCAACAGCTAAGAGAAACACAAAGCCTACTGACTACAATGGGATGGTACACAGCACTAAAAATGAACAGCCAGAGATGCACATATGGAGACATGTCCTGCATTTTATTTAGCACTTCCACAATTTGTCTAGGGTAGATTCCGTTCACTCTAACAAAAAAATTTTTTTTAAATCTAGATAGAATTTTTTTTTAAATTTTACTATTGGGTTTGAACTCAGGACCTTTGCTTACTGGGCAGGCACTTTATCACTTGAGCCATGCCTCCATCTCTAAACAGAAAATTTTTTACACACTTTTTCTTTGCCTCTATAGGTACAATGCCTCAAAAGGATTAAGTTATAAAACATACTTTGGGTAAATGCTACTAACATTTGATATATACAACGTAAAAGACATCACTGAAGATTTTTAAAGTCTATAAATTAATATTTTTTGTACCTGAAATCTATAAAACAGATGCAATTAATATAAGGAAATACATGTACCCCAAATAATATTTTACTTTAATAAGCAAAAGATGACATGGCATCTAAAAGTGCATCATTTAAAAATTCAAGGGCTGGGGACTTGGCTCAAGTGCTACAGTGCCTGTCTAGCAAGCATGCGGTCCTGAGTTTAAATCCCACTAACACAAAAACAAAAAGTAAACAAACAAAAAACTTAAATAACATAGTGTACTACTGCCAGGCACTGTGGCTCACACCTGTAATCCCAGCTATGCAGGAGAAACACTGTGTTCATTCTCTAGTGCCACAAAATAAATTCATTCATAAATAAATATTCACTCTAAAAAAGCTTCACACATCTTGTATGACTACATCAAGAGACCAAGGAGTGACTGACTATACCATTTAGGTTTATGTATCTGCATTTGAATAAGTACACTCTATGATGTTTGCAGTGATGAAATGGCCTAATGACATACTTCTCTCCATTGCTAAGAGATGTATGACTATATATCCTGTATAATGTGACATAAAACAAAATGGAAAAAAGTAAAAACTTTGTAAAATGTGCAACCTGCATGTGCTGTTCAGTATGACAGCCATTACCTACAAATGGCTATATAAATATCAATTAAAGTTAAATTTAAAAATTCAAGTCAGGCACAGGTGGCTCATGCCTGCAATCCTAGCTACTCAGGAGGCAAAGATCTGGAGGATGGCAGTTCAAACCGAGCTGGGGCAGACAGTTTGTGAGACCCTATCTTGAAAACACCCATCACAAGAAAGGGTTGGTAGAATGGATGAAGGTAAAGTCCCTGAGTTCAAACTTCAGTACTGAAAAAAAAAAAAAATTCAGTTCCTCAGTTGTATTAGTCAAATTTTAAGTATTCTATAGCTATATATAGCTAATGGCTACCAAATTGGACAGCAAAATACTTCTATCATAACATAAAGTTCTATTAGATAATTCAGATATACCAATGAACTTAATATATGGGAAATTAAGCTAAATAAAATCCAGACTGACTTTGATACTGTGGGGGTCTGAGAAGAAGCAGTTTATACTGTCTATCCTGAAACAAAGTAGACTTTCCCATATTTGGTTGACTCACTATTGTATACCTATTGGAGTATATCATTGCACAACCACTAGTACACAGTATATATTGAATTATTTCTTTATATGTAGAAGTATCAACCATGAAAGAATTTAAGAGTTATTATAGCTATGTTTTACATTTTGAATCTAGAAACAAAAGTAGCTTTTTGTTTTGGTGGCAAAAGATGGAAGTTACAGCATCTCCAGACTATTTTAAAGATGAGGCTTTGGAAACATTCCCAGAATTGTTCTTTCTTTTTAACAGTCTATGAAAGAAAGAACATGGCTTGAGCTCCTGTTTATAGTGGACATCTGTATATCCTGGACCGTAGGTACATTTTTAATTCCTCACTGCTGTATGAGAAATTTCTTGCTTCAAGAGTGTCTTCTCATACACAAAATGAAATTCCTAGCATCCCTTGATACTAGGATTTTGGTATCTCCAGCCTAATTTCCCTGTAAAAGACTTCATTTTGAAAGCGAGTAACCTGAGGAAGAAGGCAGAATATCTCTCTCGCTCTATCTATCTATCTGTCTATCTATCTATCTATCTATCTATCTATCTATCTATCTATCTATCTATCTATCTGTCTATCTATCTATCTATCAATCATGTACCATCTATGGATTGAACTCAGGGCTTTATACTTGCAAAGCAGGCGCTCTACTGCTTGAGCCACACCTCCAACCCATTTTGCTCTGGTTATTTTGGAGGTGGGGGGTTCTATGAACTATTTGCCTGGGTTGGGCTCAAACTGTGATCCTCTCAATCCCAGTAGCTAGGATTATAGGCATGAGCCACCAGCACCTGAATCAAAATCTACTTTTAAGGCAATTTTTGGGAGTAACCATGAATTTTTAAAAGAATCCCTGGTGCAGAAATGTACTGGTAGGGGAAATGATGACAAAAAACGTTTTCTTTAGGGCTCTAATGAGTAACAAAGCTGGGATAGTTTTTTTATCAGGCCAGTTCTATGGTATGGTTTTAGGGCTATTCTTGGAAGCTCAACATGAAGCATAGCCTCCTACCATTTCAAAAATTATGTCAATCATTGAACAGTCTTTAATGAATTCCTTTTTTGCTTAGTAAGAATTAGCTTTACCCATTGCAACAATGTACTCAATAGGTATATTTTAATTTATTTCATTACTATGTATTTCTTTTTTCCTTGACCTTATTCTTTTGCATCTGTCACTTTATCTTATTAAGTAGATAAACTACTTGTAAGCTATAGTTAATGAGATTAAGACAGCACTGAAACTGCTCTTACCACCTTTACCCATTCACACTTTACACAATTAAGCAGGCCACTGGTCACTAATAGAGACTTTAGTAAGGAAAGCTATTTTTGATTTGCCTTCCAGGAAAAGTTGGTAAAAAAACAAGACATGATATTGGTTTTCTTTATGTAGCACTTGCTATATGTAGCTAGATAATATAGTACTTAATTTTACATGCTTTTGAACTTTTTGTTTTTTTTGTGGCAGCACTGGGGTTTGAACTCAGGGCCTCAGGTTTGCTAGGCAGGCACTGTACCTGTTGAGCCACTCTACCAGTCCCATGCTTTTGAATTTTTTATGAAAGGAATCAAGTCACTTATAGTCTTCTGTTATTTGTTTTGAGATTATTTTGTGTTGATTTGTATAGCTGTTAAGTTTTTCACCTTACTGAGCATGATGTAATATATAAATGTACATGTTGATTATTGGAATTATGTAAATATATCACAATTCATTTATCTATTCTCTAACTGAAAAAGTGGGCAGTTTTTTCCCTATTGCAAATTTTCTTCTTATGAACAATGTCATTTATCTTTCTAGTATAGTCACCTAGATTCTCTATGTCAGCCTGCCTGCCTGTCTATCTATCTACCTAATCTAACTATTTCTATATCAAAACAACATCCTGCAACAGACTAAATACAGAAGCCATTTTGTTAAGCCTGACATTAAAGGTACTTATTAAGATATAAAATAATTCCTCTTTTCACTTAATGTATTTATTTTAAATAAAAATTGTTACTTATGCTGACATGTAGTAGATTTATTATTTTTAAAATAAATGTTTAAAAATTTGTTTCAATTTCTAGGATGGCAAATATTGATACATAGAACCATATCTATAACCACATAAACTTAAGTTCTTTGGGGTCTTCAATTTAAAAACTTTATGAACATAAATTAATTGGACAAAGTTTCATTGTGATATTTATATACAGGCATGTAGTATGCTTTGATCAAATTCTCCCCCTCTATTAATCTTTCTTATTCTTTCCTCACACTTCTTTGTGTGTGTGTGTGTGTGTACTGGAGTTTCAACTCAGGGCTTCATGTTTGCTACACAGGCATTCTACTGCTTGAGCCAGCACTTTTTGTTTAGGCTTGCCTTGAAAATAGCTAGGTGCAATTCACTGCACCTAGCTATTGGTTGAGATCGGGGTGTTGCAAACTATTTGCCTGGCTGGACTTGAATTGTAGTACTCCTGATCTCAGCCTCCAAAGTAGTTAGGATTACAGGCATGAGGCACTGGTGCCCAGCTTCCTCCCCTACTTTTTAGATAATTTTTTAGTAGGTTTCATTATGTTACTTGCATATACATATTAACCTCTGTCACTCTCTCCATTCTCCCTCCCCTGTCCTGCTTGTTCCCCATGGACGGTCTACTTATTATAATCATATCATATTGTTATTATTTTTATAGGTCTAGATTGTACATAACAGAGAAAATGATCTATTTGTCTGAGCTTGGCTTATCTTGTTTAATATGATTATTTCCAGTTCTATCCATTTTTCCTGCAAACAGCATAAATTCACTTTTCTTGAAATGGCTGAAAAATACTTCATTGTGTGTATGTATCACATTTTCTTTATTCATCAGTTGCTGAGCACCTTGGCTGCCTCCATAGCTTGGCTATTGTATACTGTGTTGCAATAAACATGGGTGGATGGGTATCTCTATTGTATGATGAGTTACTCATGTTCCTCTGGATATATGCGCAAAGTGGTATAGCAGAATCACATGGCAGTTTTGTTTTTAGTTCTTTGAGGAACCCTCATACTGATTTCGATAGCGGCTACATTAATTGACATGCCCACCAACAGTGTATGAGGGCTCATTTTTCCACCATATCCTTGCCAGCATTTGTTGTTGTTTGTGCTCCTGAGGATAGTAATTCTGACTGGGGTG